GTATACACTCGGACTTTGGGGAGGGGGTGGAGGCAAACAATGCGCGCACAACAACGAGACATTATATTGTATTTTATGACAAAAACGGAGTCACGTTTTTTTAATGTAATCGCAATCGGAACAAGCCAATCGTGGGTCTCATCCATGACTTACATAGCAACCGCAGCAGCAGAAGCACCACAACCACCACCATAGCCACCAGTGGTCGACGCCGCAGGACTGACCATAAATATGCGAGAATTTTTTTTTTTCTCTGTAATGATTTCTTTCTTTATATTCACCTCTCCCCGGTCTCGGGTCCTATTCGATTTTTCTTTTTTTTCAGATAGTCCGATAAATGAATAAATAAAAACAATAAAACACGAGGCTGTTGTATATATAATATAGTACACATAACGTTCACCCTTTGACCTTTCGGCCGGGTAAGAGCAAAAGTTAAAAAAAAAACAAATCGAAAAGCTTAATTGTTATACTCGAGCGCCTCGGGAGTATTTCCTTAAATTGTGTACACAAAAATTACAACGAATGATTCACATTTGCATGGTTTTTCAACAAGTAAATGGTAATATTATAAGTGAGTAATATTTGACTATTTCACGTTTAATGTACAATTTAAATGGTTTCAACTTTGGGATAACTCAAAGAGTATGTTTATAAAATCTTCAATTACGATTTGATATGCTTTCCGTTATGCTTACACTGATCAAAACTAATCGGACACTAGACAAAATATATTGAGCAATCGTGGAATTCAATCTGTGTAATTATTCAAAAAGTCAAGGTATAACGCATCTAAATCAAATCGATTATGAGGTTTTGTAATTCGACCGAGCTAGATTTTTCATTTGTTCGCGGCGCTTAATCTCTCCCCGTTTAACTCTATACAAGAGACAATGACCGAAGCGAAACGTCTAGCAGTACGCTCATAACTTACGACGACGCTAAGCACCCGCGTGTAGCTTCTTAAATAATAACAGCAATAACCAACGCAGAGTGTCCGGTTCGTATTTGAATGCACGCGAAGGTTATTAATTGTGCCGTACATGTTTTTGCCCGGACAAGAGTAGCATAATAATACTATATTGATATAATCACAGTAAAACTTAAAACATAAGACAACGCCCCAAGACACCGGCTGCCGAGTATTTAGTATCGTAAATTAATTATAGAAACCTGTTGTTGCTGTTACAAATGGTATGTATTCCCACTGAACCCCTACGCATGAGTAATCGTTTAGGTGCCATGCATCCATATAAAATTACTAGAACATTATTTATAGAACAAACATGACTGATAAAATCCCTACAAAAAATTACCGCTAGTGTGTGACTTGATTTTTTCCCCCGTTCTTTTGTTTCTAATACAATACTTGCCGCTAATAATTTTTTAATACTGACATTATCTAATTATCTTGCAGGTATTTATACCCCATGTCACATATTTTCTTCGATAACCTTTGATGACTTCTAGCGTTACATTTTAAATGAATACAACTTATCGTGAACCACTCAATATCTCACGGTTAAATTAATAGTTAATTTTTTTTTTTTCGTAATGTTTTTGTATAATGTGATCTCAATTTCTCACAGTTTTTTTGTTTTTACCCCCTCCCAACTTTCAAAAGTTCCTTTCAAAAAAACTAAGTTAAAAGGGGGGAAAAAACAAAAAAAAAATTGTGAAAAATTGACATCACATTGCATAGAAACACTATGTAAAGAAAATATAAAATGTCTTATTTAACCCAGTGAGATATTGAGTGGTTCTCGATAAGTTGATCGCCCTGTATATTAAATATATGAATAAATGTATTAATTATATCTTATTAATGTCATGTTGTATAATCGATATCTAAAAATAATGTAAAATTATAACTTTATGTTATTACGTTTTACATTTTATATCTAAACATTAAGATCTCATTCGGTTATGTTGGATTCTTTATTAACACGCTCCAAATTCATTAGGCTTTAATACATTTTTTATTTCTATAGAAAAGCGCATCGATACCTATTTATCCATTTTCATATTTATTCCATAGGTAAGATAATCTATTCATAGTCAAACAAAACTTGTTTATAGCAATTTGTCGATGCTCTATGTCCTTTTGAACATCATTTTTTTTATTTCCTCTTTTTTATTAGCCAAGTTTCACAGTCATATCACATATGTTCACGACGGTTATAGTAAATTTGAATATATAAGCATATTCATTTGATCTTCCTAATAGATTGTGATTTCTTATTTTTAGAATATTTATCGTTTACCGGACAGGTAAATCAAATTATTACTTTTAATGTAATTTATGGTATATTTTTTTTACCGACCATATGCATATTAAAATCGGTGAGATATGTATACAATATGCATTCAAACGATACCGCACATGTGTTATATGAAAGATTTAGTTATTTCAAGGTAACGTCTGACCATAGCAAAACAATAATACTTATATTATATGCTCGATATGTATTTAAATTATTTTCAATTTCGAAGAATGTCGTCCAAGAAAGAAACAATAGCATTGAGCAGTGCATTAAACATCATATAAATTTTTCGAAAACACTTACAGCTTCTATACAGAAGATAAATAAATAAGTCAGAATCTCCGTTGTATGTTATATTTTGCTAACAGCTATAACTCGAGCAGTTAACCTATCTGTATTCATAATCACAGAATAAAACAAATCAAGTATAAAGTGACATTTTCCCCCCCCATAAACCTTTACGTTATAATATCATTGATACTCTATAATAATTGTTAATGTAGGCGAATAATCCTTTAATGTCTTGTGGGTATTATTTATTAATACAAACCGCACAATTGTTTTAAAACGAAGAATATTTGAACCTTTCAGCAATTTGGCCTTGGGGATTGTATTGCAGACGAAGCCTACTTTCCAACAATGTACACCAAATCATTCGATGTTCTATGAACTTCTCAAAATCGTTGAATGAAGTCAAGTATAAAGATAGTTTTAGGAAAAGTCAATTTGATCTAATAAGTCAGTCCATAAAAATATATAGTTATGTTTGCATATTAACGCGATGCTGCGTCCGCCGAGGTAGAGCATATTAATTACTGATTTGATTATTATATAATATTATTTTGGAAGATCAAGGTCGCGGAATCAATAAATAAGTAAAAATAATTTTTGAAAAAACCTAAGCGATTTTTTTATTTGTACGATTGTGTAATTATTTATACAGAAGGCGAGCTAGGCACTACATCATTGGTGCGGTAAACAAATCACATATACCAGGCTTTCCCGGTCCACTATAACTCTTCGGGTTCCGGGAGCAAAACTGGAATAATGCACACCACTTCGGTTGTATTAATATTATTATGTATTACTGTGGTAGGACCGGTGCGTAGTGATAATAATACAACTTCGATCCCGTGTATAATTTATTGTTAGTTTTAATTCTTTATGCAAAATAGGTAAAACGCGCGCGTGAACCGTTCCGGCTGTTTGACCACAAATTATGTCTGTCGCGTATATATTATACGTGTATACACCCGTATATATTGCTGTATACATATATAGATATACAGCAATTAATTTGCACGAGAAAATATAATGTATGCGAGTTCTTTCCATTAGGTACACGACGACCGGTGCAGATGTGATACCCTTGTTTTTGTGTCCGGCACAAACAGCGCACACCAGACGTATCTGGACGCGACTCCCGTGGGAAAGCCGATGAGCTGGTGCGAACTGAAAACGCCACAGAGAACGCCACCTAGAGTTTTTTAATTGCGGTAGGTCGAAAACACATGGGTGAAATTTAATTGCACATTATAATATCTACTTTGAAAAAACAGCACATCGTTTTGTGCGATCCAAAGTAGAGGCAACTCGGTTGAGAATTTATCGAATGACAATTTCATCACGAGTCTACTGCGGCTAACAAAATATTTCAAAGGAAAAACGTCTGAATCTATTTTTGTCTTTTAATATATTGTATCATGTGAAATCTAATTCGTACACGATTTCAAAAAAATATTTGTATCTTCTCTTTAAGTAATTTTTAAACGATATATTATAGTTGTGTAAGAGCAAAAGCTTTCTGTTCATACGATTGACATAGATCTGGTACCGCCAGTGACTAATGTTTGAGCGATAAGTCATGTGGGATTGGCTTTACTAAAAGTCTGTTCACTATAATTACCCAATAAATATCCGATTGTACTTAACGTGAACAATATAAACCATGTTCAATCTCCCTAGCATGTCAAGTAAAGATTATAGGGAATGTTGTTTTGTTTCCCCAAATGGACGTCTGTACAATAATACCGCAAAGAACATCATCAGTGCCAATGCTACAAAGAAGAAACGCACGTGCGGTAAATTGGAATACATTGTTTAAAATTATATTAGGTATTATTATGTTTTATAAAATATAATTTTAGTATGTTTTCCGCGAAACGTTGGCTTGTCATTTAAATTATTTTAATAATTATGATTTTTCCCCAAGTCATATAATTTCACTATTTTTATATTTAACTGAAGTAGGTAAATTAATTTGAAGTGAGTGGTATACATATAATTTATTCGTGTAATATTTTTACAATATTATATTATAGATAATAAATGTTTCGTATGAATTTGCTGTAGTTTCAGTAAAATGCAAGACGAGCAAGTAGAATGTGAATGTTACAATTTAGTTTAGGAATGCATTGCACAATAAATTACCTAATAATTTAAACTATGTAGTTTTTCGTAGTTACAGTACTAAGACTGTAAGAAATGTAAAAAAATTAATTATTTTGTATAGGGTTTAATAACATTATGTTGTATTTGATGTAAGTAATTGGTAAGTTATAACTTAAATACACTCTGTATGGTCTTGAGTCTTTAAGTGATTGAAATTAATTAACATTACATTAATTATGTAGTATAATATAATAACCGTGTGCGCATTACACATTCACTTTACTTTCATTTGAATAGCTTATTATAAAAAAATATCTATGTAGGTTCGATTTACATAATCATATATATATTTACACAAGTTGTCCCGACCCGGCGTGCCGTATTAGACACACAATCAGCTGATCGGATCACTGTATCCTTGTGGTACGAAAAATGATACCGTAGATCTATTGCGGTAACTATTGATACTATTGATAATCATATAAATTAATATTAAATTATTAAAAATCGAATCAAATTGTGAATCTAAACCTTTCTCGAATCAACTTAATCGCGCACACAAAATTTCATAAAAATCTGTCCAGCCGTTTAGGAGGAGTTTGAATACTTACACACGGACAGAAGAAATATATATACCTATAAAGATAAAGATTTATGTATTTATTTATTCATTGTTACTTGGTATATTATTATTTCATTTTAATTTTTTAACCAAAAAAATATTTTTCGCAACTTGTTTTTAATTGTGTAATGTATAAATAATTCATTATCACTATACAAAAGAGGCTCTAACTTTTTCCAGTACACACAAACACTCTGACTGTTTGGTTTTCCGATCATTAAAAGGTTTAGCCAAACGAACATCATAACACCTTTTGTTTAACTCTAAAAATAAACAATACAAATTTAATTTATGTTTAAATACTCAAATTAATAATAATACTTACTTGTAGTTGTGTTCATAATATGACTTCCATTACATTTTACATCAATATTTTCCTTATTTGCCAAACGAGTCTTTAATACATTGTTTTGTTTCTCTAAAGATAAATGATAAACATTTAATTTATATTTTATAAAAAGAAAAAACAAATACTATTTATAGTAAATAATAATAACTTATAGTCTTGGTGATTGGCCATTTTTTATTACATTTTATGGCACAAACTGTTCTGTCCACTTTATTTGCACTCTGAAAAGAGTTAATATATTTTAATTTATGTTAAGTGTAATTCGTTGTAATTAAGTGTTTTTGAATACATTAAAAAAGAATACACGTTGCATAAGAATATGTTCTTATTTTGAAGATGTAAATTTTTACATAATGTATAAGATTCAAAAAAACAGTAAAATTACTTTCATATTATGTTACTTTTTAATTGTACAACATTTTATTTTTTTATATATCATACTACACTACCTTTATTATTTGGTACATATTACTAATTATAATTCGCTGACTTCTCATTTTAAATGTGAAACACATAGCAACATGACATCATTATATATAATAATATATTACATTTTAGATAAGAAACCAGGCAAATATTACTTTATTTGTTGAAATAAAATAAATTTAAATTGTGTCATGTTGACTTTTACATATTGGTTACGAATAGTTTAAAATTAAAATCAGATTAAATTTGCAATTTTTTTTTAAATCAAATTGTTCTTTGTACACCAATTGTATAAAAGTATAAGCCTATTATTTATTTATTATTTCTAAAAATGATCGAACGTCAGAATTATTGTTAAATAAACGTTTTGAAATAATATAATATCAATAAAGATATTAAATTACAGTTTCTCACATTCAAATATTGATAAATATTGATAAATTAAATTAATATTACTTACATCCGACCGAGACGTTTCGCAAGCAGATTTAAATTCATTTTTTCTGGTGGATGCATTTATTACATTATCAATATAGTGCCTTGCTACTTTATATTCGGTCAACGTTTCATGTTGACGCTTTAGATGTGATGGTATGTATTCTATACTGCTGTAGACGACAGTCTCATTAAACACAAGTATAAGAAGACTGTTAAAAATAGCGTCTTGGAAAACTTTCATACAAGGCACTTGACGCCTGTCACGACGTTAGAATGACAAGCACACAAAAGGTCGCGTAATCGCCGAGTATAAATAATATTTCATTAGGAAATCAATTCCACCAGTTAATTACAAACCAAATGGTTATAATAATTAATATTCATAGAATATCTGGTAGACAAAAATAGATATTTAATCAAATGAAAGCAATTTAAATAAATTATTAAATAAAAACACAAAATATAATTTCCTCGTTGATTGCAATTACAAATTTCCAAGCAATATTATATGCGAGTGTTAAAAAATATTTATTTTGTTGACTCAGATTGTTAAACCGGAAAATAATCAACATAAAAACTAACGGCCTCAGTTGTTGATCAGTGATAAACTCTTAATTTAGAGAACGCTAACACATTTTTTTATTTATTTAAAATAATTAAAAAAAAGTTATTTTAAAAGTAATGTTTTTTTAGTTCAGAAATGAATAAACCGATAATATTTTATTTTTTTACAAAGGATCAAATGTAATATTTATAAAATAATGGGGAAAATGTAATAGTTTAGGTAAAATCGATATACAGTAACATCTAAAATTGAGTACACATAATGATATACCTTTCTATGTTTGACGAGCCTTGACCAACGTCTTTATTCCGTTTCGTGGTGTCTTTTAAAAGGTCATCACAAATTTCCATGGCTGTCCATACTGGCATCAAATTTTCATTCTGAACATAATGTAAAGCGATTTATTTGATACCCGACTCTTACTGAGTTTCTCAAGTACCGAGTCACCGTCGGATTCAGTGGTTTCGCCAGGCTTGCAATGTTTCTGGCCGAAAGCGTCCAATTTATAATCCCATTCTTTCTTCCGTTGCACGTAATTCCGATACAAGGCATCGGTAGTTTTGACCTTATTTTTACCTGACGGCCGAAAAAATTCGTTAAGTTTCGCGAAAACACACTTATACGATGATAATAAATGTTTTGTTTACCCAAAACAGATAAGGGAAATTTTCTTTCATACATTAATCCATCCACGACGATTTTATCGTCTTGCACCTGTCCGGTTTTTTTCAATTCAACCGAACCAACTACACAAAACAATATTTTATAATAATGTTAGATCACTCCTAATCAGATACAGAACGGTAAATTATTGTCAACCATGTGTAATCTGTTGGATAATTTCATTTAATGCACATAACAATTATTTTTGTGTTAAATAGATAAACTCATATTTTATTGTCGGAGATGTAAGTTTATATTTGATTATGGTATTTGTCAGTACCATTATCTTTCATGATAAGCGATTGCAAACTTAGTAAACTATTTTCATTCATAATCCATTGGTTAATTCGCCTTATGACGACCGTTATTGCCGGCATACCTCCCAATTTCGTTAGTTCTGTTAACAAAAAAAAAAAATGTATAAATGCTAATCCGAGCTTACATTTTGCCGATTAATATTTCAGTGTTTTTATAGTATAAATGTCCAACTTTTCAGGCACATTATATACTGAATCACAGAGTGAAGACGTTTCTATATTTTTAATCAGTGATGTTGATTTTACATAGAATATTTTGTCATTATTTTTTTACTATAAAATATAAACTTATAACTATTATTGTGGACGTCAAAGGTACGCATAAACCAGAGCTATTTGCGACCAATCGAGGCATATGCAAGCGAGACTTGGTCATTAAAAAAAATGTAACGAAAGAAAATTAATAACATTTAAACGCAAAATACCTCGTAACATATAATATGGTCCTGTCTACAATCAAGAAACAAATAAGAGAAGGAAACACAGAGATACAAAAATTGTACAACAAGACGGATATCCTCTCTTTTATCAAAAATCATAGATTAGAATGGTTTGGTGAAATGATAAAGAAAGTTTTTGCGGAGGAAATAAATAGAACATGGCCTCTAGAGACCCAGGACACGGTGGATTGACGGAGTTTCCAATAATAAGAGAAGCGGAGGGACTTGGAGGTGGCAACAATGGTCCTTAATAGACCGATGGGCCGAAGAGCTGAAGATAAAGTGTTAACTTATACTTACCAATAAATACGTCCAGTTTATTAACGTCCGACAACTGTTTAAACCATTGACGGTATTTACACATCATTGTTCGCAGCGTCTCAACGTCAAGGAATCGATTATGGTCGTTCGGGAGAACGTCAAAAAGCAGAATTGGTCTAAATCGAATTAGCATGACATATTAGCTATGAGTAATTAGCAGCATAATTGATGTGTATTCAACGACACTAACATATTCTCGGTGTATACGACGTCGCTCGTATATGCGTTTCCAAATGTCATCTTCAATAAGTACAAAAAGCTCGGAGTCCAGTGGTCGTTCAACAAGCTATTGAGGAATTTCATTTTGTACGCCCATGAACTAATTTTGTACCATTGCTTTAGATTTTCGAACAACAACTTAAACACTTGATCTGTTCTACTTTCGCGATTTTGAAAAACAATTGCATTATCATTTACGTTATCTACCTTATTATTTTTATTAGTTGACATATTTGGTTAAATTTATCAAACTATAAGAAAAAATTAAGTTGAATAATATAAAATGTATTTGGTACTCAATTTTCTTGAAATACTAAATAGTATACTATATGATGCTTAGCAACGACTTTATAAATAAAAACCACCTTTAATTAACAACATCATCAAGCTTATAACGGGCCTTTAAGGCTCTACGCTGCCATCATGGCATGATATCCGTATAGGTGTCTATACGGATTCGCTGTCCGTGACGGGTCGTCAGTCTGTCGCCGGAGAGGATGGCGGTTTCTTTAAATATAGCATTAATAAATGTTGACCAACAAAACGGTAAAACGGTGTTGTAATCATTTGTATAAAAAATATTACCTTGCTAAGAAACGTACTTAAACATTATCATATTTGAAAGAAAATAGTAATAATTATACAATGCAACAAAACCACTGCTCCTAATCTAAAGTAACATCTTATGTTATGAATTTATGTTGTTCTACAAACATGCACTCGGTGGAATACATTTTTATACTAACTCTCATGACATTAAAAGGCGAATATTTGTTGGTTTCCTTAACATGTTTTATATCATTTTATGTATAATATGAGACGTAAATGTTACATTAAAAATATTTAATTACCTTTAATGGATAATAAAATTTTATAAATAAACCGAGAGTATTCGTGAGAGAGATATTTTACAACTAAAATGATAGATAGCATCCAAGTTTAACAAATACAAAAAAAATAGTAACATTTTTTATGTTTGCTTTTAAGCCCTTTTTACGTTTTACATATTTTTATTATTGTCTTTTACACAAAGTATATTGTAGAGTGCGTTCTACATTAATATAAGTGATAAAAACTTAACATAAGTACAGTGGTTAGTGGAGTGACTAACGGTTTTTTAAAAAATATATTCGTAAAGGGTTATTTTTATTGTTTATGTATTATAACTACATACACATCCAAAACGGGTTTGACCTCTAAACGTCTTTAATGATTCAATTATTATTATTAACGGTTTTCTAAGTAAAATCGATCCATTGTACGGTGTGTGTTGTATATATTAATACAATTGTATGTACATAACAAATGTGTGTTTAAAATAAATGGGCTGTGTATATTTAAATGATCCGTCAACCACTGTAATTAATAAACTCTGATGTCAGGTATAAAACGCGTTTCTCCTGCGGCCTGTGTTTATTTCTTTTGAGCCACCCTTAGATTTCTTGTTGTTTTATTATTAAACACGGTTTTAAAATAATGTACTTCTGACAACTTTTCAAAGTATGTCAATTTACATGCTTTAGAGATTCTTCGCTGCTAAACAATAACATGTGTTTCCTACGGTGGCGGCGGTAGCAAAAACCCATTAGCCTAATGGAAACTCGTATCTTTTCTTCGTTTGTTTTAAATGCACTAGTGTATTTTTACACAGTTACAACAGCTAATTGTAGAACATTGGGTCGGTGGCAACCCCATACGTGAGAAAAAAATGTATACAGATAAGTATAGTAAAGATACGTAGAGTATTGGGAAAACGACAATATTACAAAGAAATTAAAACACGACTAGTACCTGTTAATGAATATGAAAAAAAAAACTGATGATAAAACGTACAATTATGCATTTGTATTTGTATTATTCATATCAACACACGTTAAAAAAAAACATTAACAAAAGCCAGTACAGTGGGGACGAAGGGGGATGCCACAAGTCTACAGGAATTATTATAACTGGAAGTGATAAAATCACTTTTAAATAAATGTTTCGGTGCGTATCTGTGGATAGTAAGAATCCAGCATAGTTCAAACGAAATACAGTCTAAACCAGCACAGCAAAAAAGTACCAAAGTGGCGGTGCCGGTTTATATTTTGTTTGGTTTGGACTGTACTTGGTTTAGTATGTGCAATATAAATCATATTCAACCCAGTCTAGAATATTGCTAAAAATGCCAATTTTTTTTAGTGTATGTATAAGAATTGTATACTGGTTTACTGGATCAAATGCCTTTTGCAAGCCTGTATACATAATATATACTTGGAGACCATGCATAACAACAACAAATATTTAAAGATTTAATCAGAAAAAGATATGGTTGACTTGTATCTCTAAAGTAGCTACATTCGAAAATCGATTTTCAAAAAAACAGTATCTTTTTAACCGAAAAGTCCAAAAGCGCGCTAAAAAGCCAATATCGGTAGGTATTTATTGAAAAAAAAACGACGGTTAAAGTAAGCACGTCTCTAGTACCTACCTACTGGGTACAATTGGTTAGCAGTCTATAGCTGTTGTGTAATGAAAGCCCATATCAATGTCACCGGGCCTTTATTGTTCTATATTCGACGCGACCGGTCTTGCACATGATATTTACTCTATTCGAAATTAAAACCCGGTCCAAACTCGTTGCGTGTAGGGTTCAAGTACTTTAGGCGACTTATTGTTTCCACACAAGCGGATCAACATTCAACAACAACAACAATAATACGACAAAAAAATATAATAAATAAAACTATATAATATTCTTTTGATAAATCGTTCTCAACCGGAATTCGACGCCCCTCGCGGAAGGGTGCATGCGTGCATTTACACAGTACTACAATATATTATTCAAGTCGATAATGACGTAAAAAAAAAAAACTTATTTATAATTGTTTGGGTTCTCGAACCGCACATACCCTCACGAAAAACGCACGCAGTAAGTAGTCGACAGGGGTAATATATAACTATAATTGTTTAATATTATTGTTGAGCTATAACGTTTTTTTCAAACAAAGACTACTAAACAAAAAAATACTAAAATAGACCGACCATTATTTACATAAAACAACATTTAAAAAAAAAAAAACTAGTAACTCATATAGTGTTTTAAAAACCTTTGCCATTAAGCAATACAATAAAAAATACTAAATATAATGTTTATATAAGTGTTTTTTAAATACTTTTTTTGTAGCGAAAATTGGAATGAGTGAAAAAGGATATTTGTAATAATTACCATAGTTTTTTTTTTCAGGTACTTGTAAAATAACAACAGTTTTAATGTTGTTGACGTAAGATTCTTTACCAATAACTAAAACAAACAAAAAATATTTTTTTAAAAACCTATAAAACTATTATTCTTTCCAAAAAAAAACATGTTATACATCAACTCGAATATCCTTTAAACATGAAAAAAAAATATCAACAAGCCACAA